TGCTGGGATTAAAGGTGTGCGCCACCGCCGCCTGGCAAGGGTTTGTTTGTTCTGTTCTGTTTTTCTTCACATAAGCGAGAATTAACTCTCCACTAAGACAGGAGCTTTGCTCAGAAACATCTAGAACAGTACCTGATGCTGTTAAATGAATTCACTCACTACTTTAAATGAAGGCCTCCTTGCCCACATGCTAGGCGAGTGTTGTACCCCTGGGCTATCCCCCCGTCTCAGGCCTCCTCCACCATCAGGACAGAGGACCCGTTAGCTGACAGCGGCATGTTAAATTTCAGGAGGCTGTCAGTCCGTGTTCTTGTCACTTTATTTTCCTTACCCATGCTGGGCACCGCAATCCCATCTCATCCTGAGGTCCAGCTTTCTCCGCCACTCTTTAGTGGTTTGCTGGAGGCCGGTGCTCCATTGAAGAGGGTTCTCCACTGAGGTTAAGAGACACATTGGACAGGATTGATGACTCCCTTGGCCTGCCCCCTTTGCACTCTGGGAGGAGCTCTTCCTCTGTACAGCATCTGCCAGCTCTGCACGAGCCTCACGTGTGGAACTGGTGGAAGGGGAGGCAGAGTGAGCCTGGGCTCCTGAGGCTCTCCTTTCTAAGAGCATCTTTTCTTCCTCCCCTGTTGTACTGTCCTATGTCCGGCACCCGTCTGCCTCCGGCCAGCCTTCTGACCCTGCTGTGGACCCACACACTCACGGTGCTGGTGGAGGTGGCCTCTTCCCAGCGTAGCTCGTCACTGGCCTCCAGCAGACTGAAGGCAGCCCTTCAGGTAACTCTACCGGCTTCTGCGAGGATTTTAGCCCTGGGAGTGCCTGCAGTCATCTCTTTTCTCTTTCCCAGAACCTGGAGATCTGCTTCCATGCTGAGGGCTGTGGTCTGCCACCAGAGGCCCTGCACACAGCCACCTTCCAGGTAAGAGTCTTAGCAGTGTGGGGGAATGGCCCCAGGGCCTTGTTAGGGCCTCTTGATAGGGCCCCTGATAGGATGTCAAGGGACTGAACTTGTCTTTCTGTATTTACCTGTATCCAGGAACAGCCACGTAATTCATGAAACCAAGTGCAATATTAAGTTGGGCCTCTTTTTCAAAATTATTACAAATTTTGTGATGCTGGCAGGAAATAAATAATCCAGATACAGTGTCCTTCAGGGTCCCTACAAACCTGCATCAGGGAGATTATACTTCCAGAGCAGGTCATCTGATACCTCTGCCTCAGGATCTGGTCCTAGGGCTCTCTGAGTGCCTGGCCGCAGCATCAGTGTGGGTAGGCTTGAAGATGTGTAGGTGGATGTTCTGATATGCCATTCCAGACTCTGCAGAGGGACCTGGAGCTGCAGGCAGCCTCCAGCCGAGAGCTCATCCAGAAATACTTCTGTAGCCGAATTCAGCAGCAGGTGAGGTGCTCCTCCTGCCCAGCTTCCATTGAGGAGCACAGTGGGCCTTGCGCCTACTCCCTCCCAGTTGATCCCTATGTGTGATCCCATGCCAGGCTGAAACCACTTCTGAACGGCTGGGTGCAGTCACCATCAAGGCTTCCTACCGAGCCTCTGAGCAGAAGCTTCATGTCGAGTTGCTCAGTGCCTCCAGCCTGCTGCCCCTGGACTCCAATGGTGAGTGGACACTTCCCTCGGCCTCTCCTCACTAGCACCCTGGAGGCTCAGCAGGAGCCCTAAGCACATTTCCTCTAGTTACCAGGAGGGGCTAAGGGATAACGGTGGTGGGAGGGGGCAGTGTGGGGTGGGGTGGTGACTGGAACTCAGTCAGCAACCACCACCCCCTCCCCGGGGCCACTTGCCAGGTTCCAGTGACCCTTTTGTTCAGCTGACACTGGAACCCAGACATGAATTCCCTGAGCTGGCCCCCAGGGAGACCCAGAAGCATAAGAAGGAACTTCATCCACTCTTTGATGAGACCTTTGAATTGTGAGTCCCTTCTTGTCTCTCAGTCCCTCCCCCTTTTTTCCTCCCTCATAACCCCTGCCTCCTCTAAAGAGCGCTTGAGATGACCACATTGGGCTGAAGGCAAGTCTTTGGGATAGGTGTTTGCTTCCCTGGGAGAAAGCGGGTGGATTCCCACCCAATACAGAGGCATTCAGGAAGGATGCTGTATCTGACCGGGTACCTGCTCTTTGTTGAATATGGGCCTTGGGGCCACAGGACCTCTTGCTGTTAAATCAGCCCATGATCAGAGTGGGTGTTATAGCATGTGACAGAGACGAGCCAGGTTGAGATCCAACTGCTGTTCTCAGTAAAGGGTGCCCAATACATTGGGAGGGAGGGATTGTTGATGGCAGATTTGAGTGAGGCAGGCAACTAACTGAGCCCCTGACTCCCTGCCAGCCTGGTGCCCGCTGAGCCGTGCCAAAAAGCCTGGGCATGTCTGCTGCTCACTGTGCTGGACCACGACACCCTGGGCGCTGATGACCTGGAGGGGGAGGCCTTCCTGCCACTCTGCAGGGTGCCTGGACTGACTGGTTGTGAAGATCCTGGTGAAGCACCTCAGACTCGCCTGCCTCTCACATACCCTGCACCCAACGGTAGGCCTGAGTCCCAGGGCAGGGCTCTCTGGCTTGGTCTCCAGAGAGATGCCTTCTCGGGAGATGGAAGCCAGAATGAGCACCATGGCTCATGTTGCTGAGTATTTCAGCAAGTCTCTGCTCTACTGGAGAGGCCAGTGAAATTCAAGTTCGGGAAGGATTATGTGACTTCTGGTGGGGAAACCAAGTAGTCCCCATGACAAGGGCCTGGATCTGTGCAGGGCACACATCCCGCGGTGCAGGCCAAGTCCTGCACAGGAAGGCCCCTATGCCTCTGTCTGTGTCATGAGACACTAAACTATCTTAAGGCTAGGTGTGATGACGCACCCCTCTAAACCCAGCAGGAGCCACATAGTAAGGACCCCTTTTTTTTTTTTTTTTTTTTTTTTTTTTTGAGAGAGGGTTTCTCTGTGTAGCTCTGGCTGTCCTGGAACTCACTTTGCAGACCCAGGCTGGCCAAGAACACACAGAGATCCACCTGCCTTTGCCTCCTCAGTGACAGGATCAAAGGCATGTGCCACCACACACAGCTGGATCCTGTCTTAAACAAACAAAAAAAGCAGTAGTCACCACCCCAGGACCTGCCATGTTTCCAGCCCTGTTTAAGACATACCTGTGAATTTAGCTGGTGTGTGTCCACAATTTCCAAGGTCAGTATAGGGGCAGAACAGTGCTATTTCCTAACCAGGAGTTTGACCCTCAAACCTCTCTCTACACAGGGGATCCAATTTTGCAGCTGTTGGAGAGCCGTAAGAGCGATCGAGAGGCCCAGGCCTTCGTGAAGCTGAGGAGGCAGCGAGCCAAGCAGGCTTCCCAGCATGCCTCACATCCAGGGCGGTAGCAGTGGGAGCAGGGGAAGCCTGAAAGCTTGGGCTCTTCCTGACAGAGGGAAGCCCTTCCCCCTGGTGACACACAGGGAGAGCCAGGACAGCCCTTGGTGATGGAGTGCCATGACCAGTATTTTATATATATATATTGAGACCGAGTCTCTCTGTGTAGCTCTGGCTGTCCTGGAACTCCCTCTGTAGACAAAGGTTGGCCTCGAACTCACAGAGATCCGCCTGCCTCTAGAGTGCTGGGATTAAACACGTGCACCACCACCACCTGAATATTTATCATTTCTTGTCCCTCCCTCTCGCCCTGGTCTCAGTGTTCTCTGCCATACCCCAGCACAGAGGAGCATCTCCCATCCCTGCTCCTCCCCCTGAAAAAGCTGCTTTGGTAAAGTTTGTCTAGGGCCATCTGCCTTCAGGAACAGCCAGTTCCAGCTACTGGGGTGGGGCCCAGACAGTTGGGACCAGGGCTGTGGGCAGACTTTAGTGGGAGAGAGAGAGGATCCTGTCAAAGTCACCCTAGTGCAGAAAGGGGATGGCCATTGCTAGAGGGAGGTGGGAAGAGACTCTGGCTCTGAGGTGAGAGCTGGCAGGAAGCAAGCTGGCACAGATGGACGGTGGCAGAAAGGACAGTTTGGCTGTCTACAGAGTGGGCTTCCTCCCTCAGATAGCACCTGCTACCTAGAAATGTTCTTAGTGAAAATAAAAATAAAACACTAGCCACTGCCCTCAGAAAATCTATAGTTGGCTCCCAGTGGGCCCAGGAGATGTCAGGCCCTGCATGCCTGCCTCTTCCTTAGAATGCACTGGATGCCCCACCTCATCCCCAGAGCCCCTGTGGCCACTAAGCAGGGGTCAGAGGAAGCCGAGACCTGAGCAGTCAGTATGTGTCAGGAGGTGGGTCTCTCCTACCACGGGTTCCAGGATTAACCTCAGGCTGTCAGACGTGTGTGGTGTACACCTGTAGCTGCTGAGCCACCTTTGAACAGACTACCTGGCAGTTACATGATTGCTGCCCAGGACAGGGAGCTGATGTTGGGGAGGGGGACCATGAAGCTGAGTAGCTGCTCTGGACAGCAGAGTGTGTGTGTGGAAGATCTCCTGAATACTGGCAGTCAGAGAGCTTCAGGGCTAGTGGTCTTCAAACTTGACCCTGGTGAAGTTAGTCTGCACACGCTGACAAGTAGGTGGTAAGGCCAGCTGAGGCCAGGCAGAGCATCCTGCTTAGGTGTGTTCTCATACTCGGGAGAAAGTCAGGTGGGAACAGGGTAAAAGAGTTTACCTAAGGCAGGATACTTCCTCAGTGGGAAGGAGGCAGGGACTCCCTCAGTAACATGCTCCTCCTTTCTGTCCCTATTACTTTTTGGAGACCATCAATAAGGGAACCATTCACAGTACATTACACAGCACTGAGCAGGTCTCCACAGTGATGATCGCACTAGGCCGGGCTCAGGGACACTCAGCTGCTTTCGGAACTGGACAGACTGTAGGCCTCTTCAGCTGACTCTTCACGCTGCGGGATGTGGGTGCTGGCTGTTTCCGTGGGTCAGGGGAGAGCTCTTGCTCTCCTGGAACTCTGGATGTCCTCATCTGTTGACCCATTCCCCCACATAAACAAGCCACCACAAGTCATAGTTTATTTCCAATAAGTTTGTTGATTTTTGCATTTTTGTAAAAAAGGAGAAAGTTTCACTTAATTCATTGAAAGCCCTTTCGTGCTGAGCCCAAGGGAGGGGGCCTGGGCTGGGGCAGATTTTTTGTGGCCCTCTATAGCCCACTGGACACCCAGTGCTGGAAACAGGCTGCCTCCCTCTGCCCACTCTGCTTTCCCATTCCACTGCATCTCTGTACATAACAATTTTTAAAATTGAAGCTAAACACAATATACATTGGACAGGCACGCGCACACATGCACACAGGCGTCTGCCCACAACGGCAGGACGCCAGCCGCACTCAAAGAGCACCAAGGAATGCATACAACTCCCCCAGCAAGAAGGGCGGGCTCAAGCCCCTTGGTCCTCAGACTGCACTCCTCCCAACACTCGCCCTGCTAGCTGCCAGAGGGAGGGAGGCAGGGGCAGGGAGGGCAGTGCCAGCCTGGCAGGTGACTGACTGTGGGGCCAAAGAGGCTGATCAAGGAGAGGCCCAGACTTCAAGACCCCACGCGTGGGGCGGGGGCGAGCCTGCAGCCCTGGCCTGCCAGCTCCGTGGCTGTCCCCAGGGTGAAATATATTTGGTAAACCCAGGAGCTAGGCCGGCTTTAGAGTCTCGGGCCCTGAAGCCCTCACAGCTGGGAACTGGGGACCTGAGTCCATACTGCGACATAGACCCTGGCCTGGAATGCAGGGTGAACGGAGCCTGCCCTTCCAACTTCCCATCCTTCCATGCTCTGGCCCCAGGAAGAAGTTAAAAATAGTTAGTTCTTACATAAAAAAAGAGACAAAAACATATTCACTGCCAAAGGCCAGTGGGAAAAGAGGGGACTTTGTCTCTGAGCAGGAAGGATGGGGAATGGACAGGAGAGGACTGCAAAATAGTCTTTTCTTTAAAAAGTGCTTGGTAAGTCTGTTTTAAAGTGTGTGTCTATATCTATGTCCAGATATACACACAGACACTGTGCACACGCTGGCACCACGCACACCCGCACACAGAAATGTATACATGTACATAATCATATACATATACATACATACGTACATACATACATACATACATATATATACTTTAAAAAGTCCTAGGTGAAAAGGTCTGGGCCCAGCTGGGCCAGGTCTGCAGGGTCACGACTGGAGCGCATGGGCCCGGCTAGGCTGGCAGACGGGGCACTCATTGCCCTCAGCACAGAGCTCACACAGCACAGCATGTTGGCATGGCAGCACTGCCCGGGTCTGCTCCTGACACTTAAGGCATGTCACCGACTGCATGTGGAACACGGCCTGTGGGAAATATGACACTGAGGTAATGAAGTGGTCTCTGCCACCTGCTGGGCACTGAGCTGAGCAAGCAGCCCTCTCGACTCTCGCTTCAGAGTCCTTGGAGCCCAAAGCTCAGCACTCAGAGATCCTCCTGGCCAGCGAGAGCAGCTCAGCTCCCAGCTCCACCTGCTGTCCCAGCTCCAATGGCCAGGTGGAGGGGCAGCTGGGTGGCAGCCCATCATTCAGGGCTTTTGTTGGCACAGAGGTTAATGCCTCTTGTCATATGTGATCTTACCAACAAGGCTCAGGGGACAGGCCAAGGGGACTCATTGTGGAAGGGCTCTCAGAGGAAAAACCGACTGTTTCTATTGGTCAAGCCACCCCTAGGGACCAGCAGGCACCTGTGGCTGACCACTCTGGAATGTCTCCTGGAGAATGGAGAACCGGAGAAGGCACTGGGGGCAAGGGACAGGACTAAGCTTAGGTTAACACACTGGCCTCTGCCGCTACAGCTTTCTTGCTCTCCTCGAGGGCATTCTCTCCTCCTCTTCCAACAGCTGAACATCATTAAGAGGCCAGCACTGGGCTTTCAAGGTCCCACCCCACTCCTGGTCTCTAGGGCTGACCTTGTCCACTTGCTCCAGGTGGCCCCGCAGCTGCTTCTGGAGGGAGTACAGGGTGGAGAGTGAGAGTGCCTCCAGGTCAGGGGCGGCTGGCAGAGCCTGGGCTTCGGGCCCAGTGTGCAGCCGCTCCAGCTCCTCCTGCAGTTTCTTTACCCGCAGCTCCAGTGCATCCCGCTGCTCCCGGGCCAGCTCACACTCAGCTCCGGCCGCACTGGCCCGCTCACCAGCCTCCTCCGCTTCCTTCTTCCAGGCATCACAAGCCTGTGGGCCCAATGTGCAGTGTCTCATCACGACAGCCCCCTGCCCCCGTCCCTCTCCCCTCCCCCTCCCAGAGAGCATCTCCAGGAGCCAGTGTGGACCACTCTGGCTATGGGGCCTGCTGGAAGCTGGGCCTGCTGTCTGGGGAGGGCAGAGAGAAGGCTACTGCTGCCTGCAGAGAAGAAGTTTCAGGACCTCAGCAGACCCTCCCTTTGTATGCAGGGAAGGGGCCGGGCCTAGCATGACAGGAGCACAAAGCAGGGCTCACATCCTAGCCTGCATCCCCACGGGCAGCTGGTGGCAGCTGGACAGATGGCCTAGCTCAGAATCTAGAAGCAGAGACAGGCAGGAGGTCCTGGGGCCACTCTAAAAACAATTCCCATATGGAGTCCCAGGCCTGTGGTGCCAGCCATGGTAACATTCTGACTGGCAAGATCAGTCTTCCCACATGGGGGAGGGCAAACACGTTTCTGTTCTGTTCTTTAGGCCCCTGCTTCCCCCACCCGATGCCTGCTGTGTAGGATGGGCTTGGGCTTGATACCACCAGGCACTGGGCACTGCAGGTGGGCGTGGGGCCCAGTACCTGCTTGGCCTGCTTCCAGGACTCCTCCCACTGCTTGATGGTGCCGTTAGCTTCATCTAGCTCTTGCCGAAGCCGGGCCAGCTCAGCAGCCCCTGGCCCTGATAGGAAGGCAGGGGAAGTGCCTGGGGAGAAGCTTCCAGAGGCAAAATGCTCCCAGATGCTGCTGTTCATCCCGTTCAGACCTGCCCCAGGGAGGGGAGGAACATCAGCTGTGGAGGGCTTAGGCCCAGGCCCTGGCCAGCCCCTCTTGGGCCGCCAGGGGCTGGCTGAACATTGGGTGAATATGTGAGAAGAGCATGTGGAGGTATCACTGGCTGAGTCAGGTCTAAACTTTGCTGTTATCTACCACTACATGTGAATCTCTGTATCTTCATCTCTAATGTGGCCTCAGGGGGCTTAGGACTGTGTAGGACAGCATGAAGGCATCTTAATTGTTGAACTACTGCACACCTCCTTTTGCATCCCAGTGAGAGGTGGGACAAGATCAGATAGGCTAACCAGCCAACACCTTGATGGGAGGGCTGGAACAGGAGGGGCCTGGGAAGCTAGGGCCCGCTCATTGTTTTGCAGGCAGGACAAAGAACATGCTAGCAAGAACCATTAATGGGACAGGAGAGCCTGATCACACGATTCCAGAAGCCTGCTGTCAGCTAGACTGCCCACCCCTCAGCCACTGCTGACACTATCCACTGTCCTCTGGCTCCCGGGGCAGAGCCTATCTTCATGGAGTTCCTTGTCTACCTCTGGCTTCCTTCTACCCCTACATATGATTCCAGTGACTTCTGCTTGGCTCCCTTTCCACTAACTGAGCTGGATTTCAGACATTTCCCCCTCTGAGCAATACCAGCACATTGGGGAAAAAAGAAGATTCTGGTGCACACTTCATGCCGACTTCGGAGTTTGAGGCTATCCAGTGCTACATAATAAGACCTTGTTTTTAAAAAGGAGAGAGAGTGTGGGGCGTTGGTGGCACATGCCTTTAATCCCAGCACTCAGGAGGCAGAGGCAGGTGGATCTCTGAGTTCCATGACAGCCAGGGCTACACAGAGAAAGCCTGTCTCAAAAAACCGAGAGTGAGCAAGCGAGCGAGCGAGCGGAGCGCTTTCGTCCTGCGACACACCTGCAGTGCACTGCCGGGAGACCTCTGGCCCACCAACACAAACGCTGGTGTGCAGCAGGCTCTGCTCACCTGCACCTCTGCCCTCCCCACACCGGTGTCAACCGCTCTGGCAGTGGAGCTGGTCGGTCCTACAGAGAGCACCCTGTACGGTAGATCCTGTGTTGCCCTGACTGGGACCCAGCATCTGTGTGTTTCTGACCGGAGGCTGTTGGCCGACACTTGAATCTGAGCAGCAGGACAAGAGGGTCCCCGGCAAGGGGACGTGTGGAGCCAGTGGGGAGAGCTAAGGTGAGAGGTCTCCAGAGACACAGCAGTTTTAACTGTATACAACCTCAACACAGAAGCCTCCTCTGCATCGAGGAGGTGCTGTACACTCCTGGCTGAGGTGAGGGAGGCCCCTAGGCTGACCAGAACTTCAGAGGCTCTTAGTCCCTCCTCTGACTGGAGGTCCAGCATCCTAGGAGGTCTCTGAATGGCTAGGAAGTGGGGTCAGGGAGTTGTAGATGAAAGACAGGGGCCTGTGCTGAATGCTGTGTACGTATTAACTATCTCAGAGAACGTTCTCCCATAGGCTCCATCCCAGGAGCCAAGGGTGCTTGGGTGTGGTGGTCTAGCCTATAGGTCTCCCTGCTGTATTTCTCACCACTGAACCTGGAAATCACTCAGACCCACTCTGTTCTAAGACTGAGTAGGGCAAAGAGCAGTCTGGGCTAGATCTGGACCCCTGATGCCTATCCCTACCAGGAAGGGAAAGCTTGAGACTGGGTGGGCCTGTCTAACCGTTCCCTTTGCTCTTTGGTGGTCTTTGATGATGTGGTCAGCTGCTAGGAGCTCTGGGTGACTGGATAAAATGATTGTGTGTTTGGCCCTGGGGATCAGACCCAGGGTCTGGTACATGCCAGGCCAGTGCTCACTAAGCCACACTAGTATGATCAGGCCTTCACCTTGGAGACTGACGCCTGCCTCTCCAGGTGCCAGCCTGTCCTAGCACGTGTCTTCACGAGCACTGCACCATCCACAGCACAAGGAGCCGGGACAGAGGCTTGGCTTCTGACCACCTGTCCAGTCGTGGAGGATGGGGAGAGAACATGTCTGGCTGAAGCCCTCGCTGTAACCTACAGCTGGGCTCACGTGTCACGGGCAGAGCAGCCAGGGGAATCTGCTATAAGACACTAGGTTCTATCCAGTCCCCTCCTTACCCAAAGATCCATGTGATGCTGAGGTCCCCAAAAATGTGTTTTCTGACTGACTCAAGTGGCCCTGGGGCTGCTGCAGGAAATGTGAGGAGAGGCTGACAGGAGGGGACGGAGAAGCGGAGTGGAAGGAGGCTGAACTGCCTAAGGAGCCGGGGATGTTCACAGGGGCAGAGCTCTGCAACAAACTGCCACCTATGAGAGAGCCAGAGGGTGGCCGGTGAGGACCAGGCAGGCCACATGGGTACAGGTGAAACCCCAAGACCCCCTCCCCAGGCCGTCCTGGCCCACCCACTGCCCAGTACCGATTGTGATGCTGCTGGGGTGGGGCACTGTGCTGTTATCAAAAGTCTTCTCCAGGGCGGCTACTCCAAACTCGTTTAGGTCCAGGTCATCCAGGGCAGACTCTAGGCATAGAGAATGGAGTGTGGGCTCCCAAGGACCATGTCCTTGGCTCCAGGCTTCCTGACTTTGACTCCTTCATTTACGGCCTTTGCTATGTCTCTGCTCAGCACTACCCCACACCAACCCTGGTGACACCTGCCCAGTCCAGCCAAGTGCTGCTGCTTTCTGAAGCCTCCTCTGACACTCCTAGGAGGAGTCAAGACCCAACCCTGTCCAGAGTGGTGTGGCATGCCAGTAATCTCTGCATTCAGAAAGCTGAGGAGGGAGGACCAAGTATATAGTTATACTCTATATAACCGAGACCAGCCTGGGTTATATAGAGCAAGATCCCATCTCAAGAAGAAAAATGACTGAATTCAAGGTTGCAGCTCTGTCTGACAGAGGTATGTGGTGTGGTCCTTACATCCAGGCCATGTTTTTCACCCTCAGTTACTCGGGGCTAGCAGCTCTTTGACAGCAATGTACAGTAGATTCCTGACAAATGCAGTGCCTCTGTACTGAACTGGCCTGGTTAGGAGAAGGTACAGTTTCTCTCCTAGAAGGCAAGAGCAGCATACTACCACCTGATTCCCCAGTGCCTGGCATGGAGCCTGGCACAAAGTGGGCAACATAAGTAATGATGGAAAGGGGCACTGATTTTTTCCTCTTGGTGCTGAGGACCACACCCAGGGCCTTACACATGCTAAGCACCCATGAGGACAGATGTGCAGGCTGCTCACTCCCAACGGTGCCTAGTAAACAAGCTAGGGCTGTGTGACACAACTTTCATGAAAAGGCCCCGTGGCCCAGTGTTGGCTCAGAGGGCTCAGGGTGTCTACCCTGACTTTCCCAAGCCAGATGTCTAAAATATGGGGTGCACTCATCCAAGTCTGACTTGAGACGCCTCGTGTCTGAGTCCAAGTCCAGTCCTGGGCTCACAAACAAACCCTGCCTAGTTACCTATGACCGACTCTACCGTGTCGCTGGTGGGATAGAAGGGCAGAGCATTTGCATTCATGCCAGGGGCGCTGCTGGTGCCCGCAGGGCTGGGGGGAGTGGCTGCCAAGCTGGAGGTAATACTGGAAGAGATGCTTGAGGTCAGGGGGCTGCCCACAGGGAGGATGCCCAGCACGTCCTGCAACGAGAGTGGGGAGGGGAAATGGGATGCTTGCCTACAGAAGCCGTGGCAGAGGCGAGCACGGGGCAGGTGGGCTAAAGCAACCAGCACCGTACAGGCCCGGGCTGGCCGTCCCAGTCCACCTTGTTGAGTGGTAGTGGTGGACAGTGAAACATGGAAGCCATTAGCTACTTACCCTTGCAGGCTCACAGTAGAGGGAGGGATGAGCACGGGGCTGACACTGAGACATTCCCTAAACATTCCTGGTGAATGGTACGTCTAGGAGGGGATGGGCTCCAGGGCCGGACCCCCACCCTCTCTGGACTTGGGGCTGGGCCCACTTTAGTCCTGCCTTCGTTTGTGAAGAAACTGGTACCCTACTTGCTGATACCAGCTGGGCTTCTGGGCCTGTCCTATCCATAGTGATACCAGAAGAGGAGATGGGGGCCAAGGGCTCTGTACCTGTTTGGGTTGAAGCAGAGGCTGCTCTTGACTCCTGGGCTCTAGTGAATGGGTTTTTAGTTTAGCCTGAGAGAGAAAAATTAGGGAGCAGGAAGTGATGTGGTACTAGGCAGCTCCAAGTCTAGTGTCCACCTGGCCTTGCTAGGTCCACTGAGGCTGCAGATACAGGGGAGGGGCACGGACTGACAGCACCCGTCACCCATCATACCAACCCCTTTTTCTCTTCCCAGCTTTCTTTCTCCACTTACAAATCCTCTCCCCGCCCCCTCCTCTGCCCTCCTATCCTGAACAGGTTTGTCCCCTGCTATTAAGGACCCCTTTGTCCTGGTGCCCCAGGCACTGTCACCTCATTAGGCATCCTAGTTTGGAAAGGAAAGGGGGACAATCTTGTACCTACTGACTGATTCAATGACTCTGGGGAAGCTGTGCGGCCTTTTGCAGAATGAACACAGATTAACACTTCCTGAGTAGGAGGGGCTCTGTGCAGCCTCCTCAGCAGTGAAGCAAGGCGATAGCATCCACTCTGCCAAATCCTGAAGACGCTGAAGACAGACTCAGTTCTAGCTCTTAGTGTCCTTCCCACCGGTGAGCTGGGCCTCACCTCTAAGCTACTCTTGCCCCATATAGAATGTCAAGCTCAGTGTCCTCCGCTGCCCCTGCACCCTTTACCTGGCACTTGAGATTCTTCAGGTACTCTGCTCCCACCTGGTCCTCCCTCTCGAAGCCAGGAGCTTTCTTGTAGCTGCCAGGGGCAAGGCTGGACTCCCCAGGGAAGACCAGGCCCTCCAGGTTTGAGGCCTTCCTGCTGGGGCCTGGCGGGGAGCTGCAGAGGTGAGATGGGCTGCCCAGGCCACTGTTCCTACAGAGGAGCTGCAGAAGAGGACAGGTAGGTGGTGGGCAATGGGCACAACATGGACAGGGAATGGCCACCCTCCAACCCTGCTTCCAAGGGCGGTGGTCGAGGGTAACAGTAAGCACTCAGGACTCCTCAGCCTCATAAGGGATTGTCAGACAGTAATGACAAGGCTTACCCCAGCCCTGCCCAGGCTGATCACTACTGCCTCTGAAGACGCATCCCCACCTCCCCGCCCTCAGCCCCAGGACAAATACCAGGGACTCAAGCTCCTGGGGCAGAGGAGAGGCAGGAGCATGCTCCTGGGCAGGCAAGGTGCCCACCCACTCCCTAAGACAGGCACGTACGGCGCTGAGGTCAGGGGCATGCGGGCTGGAGGGGCTCACAGGGACCGAGTCTCCAGCAGCAGATGGCATGTACAAAACAGGACCCGCCTGGGTGGGGCTGGATACAGCCGAGGAAGGCTGCATGTCATCATTTAAGGGTGGCGCTGCAAGAGAGGATAGAGGTCAGCAGGCTCCCAAGCCAGGACTGTGTCTGCAAATATCTACCTGCCTATCTTCTAAAGGAGGCCATACTTGTCCCTGCCACCACGGGGAATTAAGTTACTATTTCCATTGGCATTATATTTTCTACAATTAACTGCAAAATACAAGTAATATGATAGGTTTCACTTCATAGAAAAGGAAACGGAGGTTCAGAAAGGTCAGCTAAGTCTTCTAAGATAGCAGAGATAGGAGACAGACGAGCTCATTTCAAGCCCGTTTTGTACAGCCCAAACTGTTAATCACTCTTCTGTGCTATTGCAGTTGGGTGTCCAGGACCCACAGCTGCCAGCTACCTCTCTGCTCTCCATCTGGTCCCCTCTCGGAGCTCCCTCTTTATTCTCTCTCATCTGAGAGACAGAGCTGAACCTAGAAAGAGGGTGAGGAGAAGCAGGGCCCTGATCTGCAGATGAGATGGGCATCAGCCCAGCACCCACTTCATGATGGAGGAGGCCTGGAGCAGAACACGAAGCCTCTAGACCTGCGCTACCTCACACTGCAGCAACAAGTCACCAATGCCTCCCGAGTGCTGGGACTGCAGGTGTGGGCCACCACATCCAGGGTCCCTAGTTCCAACACGTGCGCGCGCGCACACACACACACACACACACACACACACACACACACACACACACACACACACACAAGTGCAGCTGTGGCCCAGGGCTTCTCACTTGCCATGGTTCTGCCCTGGACCAGCCCTGCCCACCCACTGTGGAGAGCCTCAGTCTCAGGCCCTCATACCATATTGTTTGTTTGTTTTTTATTTTGTTTTCTGTGTGATTGCTCTCCTCAAAGTGTTGTAGTTAAACCCAGGGCCTCTTGCATGCTAGGCAAGTGCTCTGTTACCTACCGCACTCTACCCCCCCACACCCCCCAATGTGACAGGTTTTCTCTGTGTAGCTTTGCTCCTTTCCTGGATCTTGCTCTGTAGCCCAGGCTGGCCTCTTGAACTCACAGATCTGCCTGCCTTTGCCTCCTGAGGGATGGTATTAAAGGCATGCGCCACCACACCCAGCTATGATATCATTTTATATTGGACTAAGTAAAAACGCTGAAATTAATTTAACCTGTCTGTCTCTCTCTCTCTTTAGCACGTTACCCAAAACTTTAATGCCATATGGGGGCCACCTCATATTCTGATAGAGGGCCCTGCTCCAGTGGACCAAGCAGGGCTCAGTAGAGAAGAGCTCCATGCTCATGGGTTACATGGGTGGCTGGCTGGGATCTGTCAAGTTGCTTTTAACGCTTGGTGCCTCAGGTGTGCCTGGGACTCAGTGCCCAGTAGGGCATGAATCTCTACGTCTGTCTCAGGCTCTTGGAAGCTGCACCAGGACTTCACGGTCAGTTCCAGACTGGCTAAGGGACAGTAACTTCAGTGGGGATGAGGCCAAAGATTCCTGTGCACAGGACACTGCTAGGGACTGATCCCATGCCTGAGCTTCAGCAGAGGTTACGGGAGGAAAAGGAAGCCAGGGAACTGGCCCCGGGTCATGGGAACTTGGCACATACGTTCTATGTGGGCAAAGGCGCAGAAAGGTCCTCGGGGACAGCTGCCCGACTGCTGCATATCGTTGCACTTGGTGGATTTGTAGATCTGGAGGGGGCAGGGCAGAAACAGGACAAGGTCAACCACACACAGACACTTTTATTGAGAAAGGCTAGCTTGGAATTCCTCTCCACTTTCTCCCTTCCTACTCCCCTATGTTCTTTTTCTGGGGACAGGATACTGACATACAGCCTATGCTTGCCTTCAGCTCATAACTGACCTGCCTCACTGTCTCGTGTGGTGGGGTACTAGTCACGCACTGCCACACTGAGCTTCTTATCACCCTCCTCCTCAACTCTCAGGGCATCCTGCACCATCAGCACCCTCCTCCTGGAGTCACAGGTCCCACCAGTCATCACAAAGATTGGGGTGATACCTACGAGCATGTCTCCTCCTATTAAGTGAACTAAGGCCTCAGGAAGCACAGAGTCACTTTTTTTTTTCCGAGACAGGGTTTTTCTGTGTAGTTTTGGTGCCTGTATCTCGCTCTGTAGACCAGGCTGGCCTCGAACTCACAGAGATCCACCTGGCTCTGCCTCCCGAGTACTGGGATTAAAGGCGTGTGCCGCTACTGCCAGGCCAGAGTCACTTTCAGAGAACCTGGATCTCTACAGGGTCTAACTGCTGCCTGTGATGTCTACAGCCACATAAGGTTGTCTTTACATTGCTGTATCCTGGCTTCCACAGCACCAGGGCAGGCCCAGGAACCACAGGAGAGGCGGTAAACTAATAGTGTGAGGCTAGAACTACATCAGGGAGGCTGCTGTCTCTGTCCCATGGGCTCTGACCTGCCATGGTCAGTAGATTATAAGTACCACAAGTAGTCCAAAGTCCAGAATGGCCAGACTATCGGGTCCTATCCATGCCTTCTCTGTTGGTCGGTGGACTAGGAAATGAACTGGCAGTGGAAAACTGAGGGAGGGTGGTCTCAGAACAAGAGGCTCCACACTGAGGTACTACCCACACATCCTTTGCTGGAACAGTGCCAACACCTGTCCTCACTCTTGCCTGTCTCCTGGTTTCCCGAGGTGGGTAAGTCCATCACCCCTGCCCCTCAAGGCCTACCTCTGGATGGAACTGCTGCTCTGTGCGGGTGTGGCAATACTGGCAGGTGTCTCCATTCTCACACTTGCCAGGGTCTCCCCACTCGTCCCCATGTTTGACGTTTGGACACGGAGATGACCTGGTCCAATGAGAAGGGTCAGACAGTGGCACGAGAGGACAAGACTGGGGCCTACACAGTGCCACCTGGGTCCTTGTGTGGGGGTGGGCCCCCCTTTTGTCTCCCTTTCTCACAAGTTCAGATGCAGAAATGGGGAAGATCAGCTACAGAGGAAGGGTCTTACTAGGGTCCTAAGTCTGGCTGCTCCTCTGGCCCAGCTGGCCACAGGAAGACATAGTTTTGCTCCCTCAGCCAGGCACTGAACCTCTGACAGCTCAAGAGTCAGGGCCACAGCCACACCACATTTTCCACACTGGCCTGGCCCCACTCCAGCACACACCCTGAAGAATCAGAAATGGATCGGCCTCATGCAAGAACTGGACAGGGCCCCCACCATTCCGTCACCCTTCGTGGTCCCGCCCTTTAGAACTGGCCCTGTAAACTCCAGGCCTGCCTCCCACCTCCCTGAGAGCCGTGGGAGTAGCGCTCTCAGCCACACCCCTTCCTTGACGTTCCTCCCTCCCACCGCTGGCCTCTTGGGGCCAAAGGACCTGTATTTGTGCTTCCGGGGACTCCGCCGCCGGTCCTTGCTGTTGTGGTAGTAGGGACAGGCATAGCCCTGGCGACACAGCCGTGGTGGCTTCTTGCATGGCTCTGTCTTATAGTTCCCCAGGACATAAGCAGTCTCTGCACAGAAGGCCAGAGGGCAGGGGTCAGGGGTCAGGGGTCAGGGAATGGAGATGGAGCACCCTAATAACAGCAAAGTAGAATGTAGGGAAGGCATGGAAGAGCTGAGGTTCCCATGTAAGACAGGAACAGGGCCACTTCTTTGCAGGCCAGGACATGCATCAAGAGAGAAAATGCTTGGATGAGGGTGTATATATGAAAGCCCAAGGAACCATGGGAATGCTGCCCGCCTATCTGGAAACTCCCTTATAAGTGCCCTTTGAATTTAGGTTGACATGGGATGCAGGGGTGTGGTAGGCTAAAGAAATGGCTCAGTGGCTAAGAGCACTTGCTGTTTTGTAGAGGACCTGGTTCAGTTCACAGAACCACATGGTGGGTCACAAGCATCCATAAGCATGCACATAGTGCACAGAAATACATTCAGACAAAGCACACATAAAATAATATTTAAAATACAGTTTTCAAATGGGATGATAAAAGACTAGATTCTTCCTAACAGAAGTGGTAGCTTTAGTTAGAAAAAGCAGTAGGTGGCTTCAAACCAAGTCATTGGGCAGCTCTGGAAGGAGAGTGCAGAGGCCACCTGAGGCTGCCTGTACCTTGCCACCGAGGCTCCTCACTGAGGATTTTTTCTATCATGGCATGACTTGCAGCCCCAGCTGGCTGGCCTTCTATGCTGCCCTCTACTGCTGTCTGGCCATTCTGTAAGGCCTCCATGGCCTGGAGCTCCCTGGGAGAAAAGGAAAGGACAGAGGGTAGGACAGGGAACAGGAGAACGGGAAAAGTGCCATCATTCTTCCGTCCTGCTGAGGTCGGCAGCAACAGTGGCTTCGCTCTTGCTCTCCCTCCCCTAGGCCCAGCACCAGCCTACCTGATGTCGTACACAGGGGAGCGGAGGTCATGTGGGCCGTGGGCAAAAGCGCAGTGCAGGCCGTTTTTGGTGCAGTTGCCTTTTGAGTCTGTCTCATGGATGCAGATTCCAGTTTTATAGTAGCGAAGGTGGTACCTGCGCTCAGTGTCCCCTGTGGTCCTGTGCAGGAATGGGCACCTGGAACACAGCAGTGCAAGTCAGTCAACTCCGTCCCCTGAGGTCAGCTGCTGAAGGGCTGTCACCATGATCCAGAGGGTACAGTGGAGTAAACTGAGGAAGACAATGATGAATTCTGTGGCCAGCATGGCTCTCTGCTTGAGTGCTGAGATCTGAAGGGCTTGCCACCCCAGGCTGCTGCCTACAGCTGCTTCAGGGGACACACTTCTGGATGAACAGATGTTTGGATAATAAATGCTATCCAACTCAGGGGCCTCCAAGAATCAGCCCCTTGAGACTTGCACACATGACCCATGGGCTTTAATGGGCTTGCAAGAAGGAGACCAGCCAGCCTGGACCTCTGTGAAAAAGGTCGGCCACTGAAGGAAAAGTTCAGTGTGCTGTACAACAGAACCTGGACGTACGTCCCAGCACTCTTCTGAGAGGCTGAAACAATGACAAGCAAGGCCATGGATGGTCCCTCTGAGCCACGTGTCAGGCTTTGCCACCTGTGTCATTGGTGGTACACTCTATTCTGCAACAGAAAATTGTGAAAAGACATTTAAAGGGAGCACACAGGCTGGTGTGGTAGCACACACCTTTAAGCTCAGCCCCTGGGAGGCAGAGGCAGTCGATCTCTGTGAATTTGAGGCTGGCAGGGCCTACACAGTGAGTTCCAGGACACCTAGGGCTTCGTTATGAGACCCTGTCTCAAACAATAATGATCAGCAAACAGAGAAACTAGGGAAGCTTTCTCTAAGCTGCCACCGCAGGGGAAACTGTGCAGGACAGCACAGGGGGTGGGGACAGGACACAGAGGGTCAAAGAAAACCCAGGCACCACCTCTGTTCAAATGTGGTCTTGTGGGCTGAGTGGAAGAAAGGCTGATTTTTGGTTTTCATGTAATAGGCAAAGGAAATGAAAGCCATCCCATTTACTGCTGTACCTTTAAGTCAGGGCAAGGGTGAGCCCAAGTTTGACCTACAGATTGTAGCCAGTCCTCCCAAAGCAGCCTCGGCTAGATTCCTGGGATGTACCAAGCTTATTCTGAGGGCATCTGACCCAGAAGGAGACCTGGGGCTCCTCTGAGAGCAGGCAGGGCACTCACTCGTCGCCCTCTGGACAGAGGCCTGTAGCCTCGTCATACTTGGTGCAGTAGACGTCTGGACTGTAGTTAAAGGTGCCATCCCGACGGCGGATGGAACGGCGGCGCCGCTGGTTCACGAAGTGCCAGTGGAAGCAGGTGTAGGGCCGATGTTGTGTACACTTGTGTTGCACAAAGAGCGGACACTGCTCTGTGCGGAACTCCTTCAGGTACCTGCAGAGAGACAGTCTATGAGGGATGGCTCAGGACAGAGTGAAGCTCCTTGCTTCCCAGCAAAAAGCCACCAAGCCCTGAGGGCCCTGTTCTGGAGTGCCAGTCCCACTGGGACAGGAGCAGTTCAGGGCTGACGCTGGACTTTAGCTTTTAGATGTTTCCCAACGTCTAAGTTCCACACCAGCATGAAAGGCAGTAGCCACAGGCCACACAAACCTTGTGTGTGGTAGAGGCCAGCTGTAGTGTTCAGCAGCAGCTTGGCTGAGCTTTCTGAGGTTTCCCAGGCCAAGCCACTAATCATAGGGAAAGAATTATTTACAAGAGCATAAGCAGCCTCCCCCAGGGTCTGTGGTTCCCTGCTGCCCACATACACCTGCCCATCCCAAAAGACCTCCCCTATACCATGAACAAAGCTGACACTATGGGTGAGGAGAGAAACATGCAGACACTTAGGAGAGACACTGTTTTGTTGCATTTGTAAAGTGTCCCTCTGGATTACTAGCTCTGGTCACTGTCCTTGAGAGGTCTTTAGTACAACCTGAACGAACATTTGGGAAGGAGCTCACACACAGACCCTCCCTCTTAGACTGGACTGTCCCCAGTTATCTCACACAAGACCTGCCCAGCCGTTGGTGCTATTCAAATACCGGTGTCTCTCTCCTCTACCCTCATGTAATAGCCAGGATATCAGAAATCTCCCACACTCCACCCAGAGGAGGGCTTCAAACCTGTTTAGCCTGACAGAACATACCCCATCAATTTGTTTTCTTCACTACCTTAATCCAGTCTCAGGTTCTCCTAGACTAGGGCAGAGACTGTTGAATGGGCAGTCAATACAGTTTTCTTTCAATATTTATTTTATTTTATTTATTTATTCTTAAGTATGAGTGCTCCATCTGCATGTATGCCTGCATGCCAGAAGAGGGCATCAGACCCCATTACAGATGGTTGTGGTTGCTGGGAATTTAACTAAGGACCTGTGGAAGAGCAGTCAGTGCTTTTTCTTTTTTGGGTTTTTTTTGTTTGTTTGTTTGTTTGTTTGTTTGTTTTTTTTGAGACAGGGTTTCTCCGTGTAGTTTTGGAGCCTGTCTGGTTCTCTCTCTGTAGTCCAGGCTGGCCTCAAACTCAGAGATCCGCCTGCCTCTGCCTCCCGAGTGCTGGGATTAAAGGCGTGCGCCGCTGCCGCCCAGCCAGTCAGTGCTCTTAACCAAGGAACCATCTCTCCAGCCCTTCTTTAACCATTTCACTGTGTCTACGTGTATGTGTGGGCTGGTGGGACAGGGTGCACATGCCACAGCACTCGTGTGGAGGTCGAGCACAGCTGTACGGAGCTGGCTCTCTCCCTCCACCTTTACATGGGTTCCAGGATTAAACAGGTGCTGCTATCTTCGAAACCATTTGGCAGGCCGTTTTCTTCAGATCTTCTCTCAGGCCTAACAACACAGGCAACCAATGGGTTGAGAGGTGAGGAGATGCTGAGGGCACCAGGCACAATGTTGTATACAGACAATGTTGAGGCAAAAGCAGCTGATTTGGACTAGCTGTTGCCTGGGCTTGGCTGGAGCCTAGAACTGGAGGGCATAGACTAGGACTTCTGCCCTGAGCCTCGAGGCCTAATCAGACCAATAAGAGCAGGCTGAGTGGGAGGCCCAGGGACGGGATCAAACAGAAGTGTCTGGGAGTCAGGCAACACATCTGGGTACAGCTGCAGGACCAAGCAATGAGGACCCTGAGAAAGGAGTAGCTGCTCATGTGTTCACGGGAGAGACAAGAATGGGTGGGACTGCCGGTAGTGGCAGCAGCAGTGCACATCAGAGGCAAGTGGAGCTCTGAGTTCAAGGCCAACCTGGTCTACAGAGTGAGGTTCAGGATAGCCAGGGATACACAGAGAAACCCTGTCTGGGTGTGGGGGGGGACTAGGAGGGACCGAGGGAAAGGTGGAAAGGACTGTAAGGTGCTCTGCTCTGGGTATCTTCCTGACCCAGACTGGGATGGAAGAAGGCTTAAAGGAGTGCTAGCAGACCAAAGGCTCTGGAGACAGGAAACGGTAGGATACACAAACAGACTGTATCCTCTACAGAATGTGACTGGAGCAGTGGGGAGCCCCGAAAAGACGTGAGCACAGCAGGCAACTCCACAAGTTGCAGAGGTATCAACTCTGGGCCCCAAACACATTCTAAGACACCGGAGAGAAATCTGAAAGGCCCCTACAATCAGATGCTCTCCTGGCTCCTCCGACATTTAAACAAAAGGGTTCTTCTTTTCTTTCCCATCTGTCTATGCAGGCTACACAGACAGCCCGTGTCCTCCTGCCTATGTTCAGGTATTAAGCCCTGGCACTACGTTGGGGAAGCCATGCTCCAAGCTACTAGGCTAACCCTTTTTTGAGAAATACACATTCTTCCTACACCTTGAGTCTACTAGGAGACCAACTCAGGTAGAAAATGGGGTGAGGAAGAAGGGAGGAAGCTGAGCCTTGAGCCAGGAGCAGAGAAGTAAAGCAGTACTCAGGCCTGGCAAAGTAAATGCATAATACCTAATTAAGATGGAGATCCAGATAAACGATGAGTAGTTTGCTAGTGTTAAGTGTGGCCTGCATACTGTGTGAGACATACTAATACTGAAGAATACACACTGTGTATGTGGGATCCTGTCCAGCTGGTATCCTGTACACACTGAGTAGCTGGGATTCCATCCAGCTGGTATCCTGTATTTTAATGTTCTCTTGAGACAGGGTCTTGCTGTTGTTGCGCAGGCTGGCCTCAAAGCCCTTGGTTTAGGCAATCATTCTGTCTTAGACTCCCAAGTAGCTAGGATAATGAGTACAAGCCATGTTACCACTAGATAACACCCTGTGGTTTTATTTGTAAAATATATTTTGGTGCTAAAAGTTTGACAGGGTATGGTAGCATAGCCTTTAACCTCACCACTTGGCATAGGCAGAGGCAGGTAGATCTCTGAGTCTTGCATCTCTGTATAACCTGGCTGTCCTGGAACTCACTATGCAGACCAGGCTGGCCTTGAATGCACAGAGATCCACTTGCCACTGACTCCTGAGTTCCCAGATCAAAGGTATGTGCCACCACCGCCCAGCTAAAAGGAAACATTTGAGGTCAAGCTTGGTGGTGCACACCTTTAATCCCAGCACTCAGGAGGCTGAGGCAGGTGGATCTCTGTGAGTCGGAAGCTAGCCATTACAACATAGAGGATTCCAGGCTAGCCAGGACTATTTAGTGAGATTCTGTCTCAATAACAATAAAACAAAAGAAAAAGTTTTGTGTCAGCATCTTGGTATGAACACAGGAGACAGGGAGAAGGCTAATGTGTGGTCTCCAGCTTTGGGCATCGTTGTTCTCATGAAAAGAAGGCCCTCAGGGAGAAGCCATGCATGGGGAGCTTGCAGAATTGAGGCAGAAATGTCTACAGTGCCACATGCAGACAGTTCCACACGTCCTGCCTGACAGGAATTCCTCAGGTAAGGACAGAGGTGACAGATCATTTAAAGCCAAACTTCCTACTGCTACTGCCCCATACTTTTGAATATGGCTTCTTAGTCTTCCTGAAGCCCGGGTAAGCGGTCACCATTACTCAGCCTGGCATTCCTAGCCCCATACATCTGGCCCAGTGTGTTTTTCCACCTTGGTCTTTGACTCTTCTCCATGCTGGCCACAGCTGCAGTGCTTATAGCCAGAAACCTTCCCTGTCTCTGCTCATGTCTCACTCCTTACCTGCAGAAACCACCAAAGGCTGGACTGAGTGGAAATGAATCTTTTGGATGCCACTTCTGTGAAGTCTGCCTTGCTTTCCACCTAACTATCTGTTAGCTTCTCTGCACTGGAAATGCTGGAGAAAGAACCCATGGCCTTACACACAGTAGCCCTGCACTCTAGCGCTAAGCTATACACTCGGACACACCCTAGGCATTTCTTACAGTTCTTATCCTGCTTTGCATATGAATCATACACACATTTTCCTTTACAGGTTTAGTATACCTTATCTGGAATGCTATCATATGGGGATGGAACATAACTCTATTCACAAATTCATTTATGTTCCACATACATTTTATAAATATCAGCTTGAGTAATCAGAATTACAGATATATAACACCATGCCCATCCATACCTGCAAACCACTACATAGAATGAGGAGAAGAAAAACCTCCCACTTGGTTTTAATTTTTCTTTATTCTTGTAGTTACACATGTATGTGTGTACTGGCACATGTGTGGAGGCCAGAGGTTGAAGGTAGGCGTCTTCCTCCACTGTACTCCACCTACTTTCTAGACGGAGGCTCTCCCTGAACCTGAGGCTCAACAACCTGGCTAGACTGGTGGGCCAACAGCCTTCAGGCCCCTCCTGTCTCCACACCCCACGTGCTGGGGTTACAGGCCCATACTGCCATGCCTAGCTTTTTATCTGGAGGCTGGGGATTCAAACCCAGGTCCTCATGCTTAGGAGATAAACACTTTCCTGAATGAGAGAGACACCTCGTTCACCCCTCCACTTATGACAGCATGCTTGTTTTGTTCTTTTGGATTTCAGGTTACGGTGCTCAGTTAATACTACTGTTGTATATATGCCTCAACAACAAACCTGTAAGAAACCAGCGATGGCAGTGCACACCTTTAATCCCAGCACTCGGGAGGCAGAGCCAGGCAGATCTCTGTGAGTTCGAGGCCAGCCTGGTCTACAGAGCGAGACCCAGAGCAGGCTCCAAAGCTACAAACCCTGTCTTGAAAAAACAAACAAACAAAAAAAGAAACCAATAGAGAGTTTTGGAGTTTTGACTCCGAGACAATACGTGCATTTTCTCTGAATACAAGCATCAAAGAATTAAACGCTCACTAAGGAAACACCAACAGGCGCATCTCATGATGCTACCACGAGGCAGATCATCACACAGATCATCACGAGGAAGCGCCTAGCCCTCCACCCTTGTGAACTTAACACAGGGGACTGACTTCACTGCAGAAAGAATTCTCATAAGACAAGAGGCCAAACAGTTTTTTTGTTGCTGTTCTTTGATTTTGTTTTTTTTGTGTGTGTGGTTTGTGTGTGTGTGTGTGTGTGTGTGTGTGTGTGTGTGTGTGTGTGTTTTAAAGACAATTTTACTGTATCCCAGGCTGGCTTTAAACTCTTGCAATCTGCCTGCCTCTGCCTCCTGAGTGCTGGGATTAAAGGCGTGTGCCACGACCACCACCACCACCTCTACCACCTCCACCACCACCACTACAACCACCACCTCCTCCTCCTCCACCACATCCTCCTGCTCCACCACCTCTTCCACTACACCATCTCCCACCACCATCCAAAAAAGAAAGAGAAGCATTAATTACAGTGGTAGGGCTTAATTACTGTGGTGA